GCGCCGAGAGAGCGTTCCTGAATAAAGTGTAAGGAAGTCCACAGCGAGAGCGCGATTCCTGAATAAAACACTAGGAAGTCTCAGGCGGGAGTGGAGGTCCTGGCTAAATCGTGAGGAAGTCTCAGGCGGGAGCCGTTGTGGTTGTAACCCAAGGGCCAGGGGCACAGTTTGAGCCTCAAGACATTCCCTGATAAAAAAAAAACCAGGTGCGAGCGCCGGGAAGGGCACTTCAATTGAAAAACTACCATGTGCACCGGACGGGGGGGATCAACAATAATTATTCTGCAGCAGTGAGAAACAACAACAACAACAACAACAACAACAACCACCACCACCACCACCACCACCACCACAACAACAACAACAACAACAACAGCAGCAGCAGCAGCAGCAGCAGCAGCAACAACAACAACAACAACAGCAACAACAACAATCATTTTACCCGAACGCGTGGTGTTCTCCCCAGTGCCAGGGTTTTCATACGACACCAGGCAATACCCCCACTTCGTGGGGGGGCATTACAAGCTCTACCAAATATCAAACGACTCTTCGCGACCACCCAAACCCAGCTTCCCGCCCTATGACGTTGGGACACTTCACTTCGTGGCGTGCGGACGACCGTGGCTACTACACTGGCGTGGGGTACACACCCACAGAACTTGGTCACTTATTCGGGGCGCGCATGTGCCCAGCATGGTGCAATTGTGCCATACAATACATAATACAGAGAGACAGAGAGAGAGAGAGACAGAGAGCAGACAGAGGACAGCGCGCGCGGGTGGAAATTTTGAAAAGTCGTGCAGGTGTTTTTCGAGGACCTACGGTGCGATTCGTGTGATTTTATGATGCGCGGTGCTAAAATTCTTAAGAAGCCCAAATGGTTTTTGGAGATTTCGGCGTGCGCGCGCGAAGAAAAAACGAATGTGTCCCGCATGGTATTATTTGACAGGGATGATGGCCCTGGCAGGTGCGCAACCGTTGTCGCAGAAGTTCGAAAAAGTTGCTCGCAAAAGCCCGTTTGACAGAAATGTTTAAAAAGTGTTGGGTTTCCTACGAATCCGCAAGAGCGCGCGGGATGAGATTTTGACATTTTTTTGTTGAAAAACCATTGGTTTTTTGATGTTTGTATGTTAAAATCGCTCCGAACACTAAGCTTTTGGAAGGATTTCGTCTTGCGCGCGCGAATGTCCACTTTACCTAATTTTTTGCAAGGGATTCTTGAAATTTGATTACATTTGAACAAGAAATTTCATTTTATAGTGTTTTTTGCAAGGGAAAGCGGGGGGGAACAAAACAACCGGATCTTGATCTCATCGAATTACCTGAGGCTTCCTCACGAAAATGATGAAAATGTAGCTGCGGCCTAGGCGCGGCGGGGGGGGCGTGCACCAGGGGGCCCAACAATAATTATTCTTTAGAATTAATAATGTTCAACAACAACAACAACAACAACAGCAGCAGCAGCAGCAGCAACAGCAACAACAAAAAAACAACAACAACAGCAGCAGCAGCAGCAGCAACAACAACAACAACAACAACAACAACCACAACCACGACGACGACGACGACGACGACGACGACGACGACGACGACGACGACACGACGACGTCGACGACAACAACAACAACAACAACAACAACAATCATTTTACCCGAACGCTCAGTGTTCTCACCAGTGCCAGGGTTTTCATGCGACGCGAGACAATACCCCCACTTCGTGGGGGGGGCAGTTCAAGCTCTACCAAATATCCAAACGACTCTTCGCGACCACCCAAACCCAGCTTCCCGCCCAATGACGTTGGGACACCGCCCTATGACGTTCGGACACTTCACTTCGTTGCATGCGGACGACCGTGGCTACTATTCAGGGCCCCGCGGCCGACGACGACGGCGTGCGCGCGCGAAGAAAAAACGAATGTGTCCCGCATGGTATTATTTGTCAGGGATGATGGCCCTGGCAGGTGCGCAACCGTTGTCGCAGAAGTTCGAAAAAGTTGCTCGCAAAAGCCCGTTTGACAGAAATGTTGAAAAAATGTTGGGTTTCCTACGAATCCGCAAGAGCGCGCGGGATGAGATTTTGACATTTTTTTTGTTGAAAAACCATTGGTTTTTTGATGTTTTTATGTTGAAATCGTTCCGAACACTAAGCTTTTGGAAGGATTTCGTCTTGCGCGCGCGAATGTCCACTTTACCTTATTTTTTACAAGGGATTCTTGAAATTTGATTATATTAGAACAAGAAATGTCATTTTATAATGTTTTTTTGCAAGGAAAACGGATTACAACAAAACAACCGGATCTTGATCACCTCGAATTACCTGAGGCTTCCTCACGAAAATGATGAAAACGTGGCTGCGGCCTAGGCGCGGCGGGGGGGGGCGCGCACCAGGGGGCCCAACAATAATTATTCTTTAGAATTAATAATGTTCAACAATCATAAGTTTAAGACCGATCGCCCTTATATGCTCGAGTGTCCAATAACGCGTATTTCCCAAACCCTCGATACCCGCCCTCTTCGTCTTCGATCGAACCCCTTTTGGGGGGTAGACCTTTCTTCCCTG